TAAAGCTCGACTGTCGCTTATTGAGGTATAGATAAGTAGCAGTCTCACTTACTGAGGCTTATGAGGGAAAAACTATCTCTCTTACAGAGGTTTCTGTTTCTCACTAATAGAGGTTTTGGGAGCTTAAAATGACGGGTTCCACGGCTATAACTCTCACTTATCCAGTTTTATCACTTATCCAGTTCTCACTTACCCAGGTTTGACTGTATGTGTTATTTTAAGGTCCAGCGGGTTAATTTAGTTAAAGCTGCGTTAGTAGAGATAGGATGAAACTTTCTAATTTTGGCGAATTCTCTTTGTAGCATTTTTTTTTTAATTTTCTTTACAGGCTGCCAGCTGCTATAGTTAGTAGTGATTATTATAAAATAAGTAAGCAAAATCCATTTCATCACTCAAATATACTACAATTTAAACAGTTTTATTATTATGTTCTTAATAATGCTCTGGTGAAACAAAAGCCGACGTGATGGCGTTTTGTTTCTTGTGATTTGATACAAACACGGATCGTGTTTTAGCGACTAGGGAAATTTACCAATTAGGTACAATCAAACGAAACGCATTTAGTTTACGTTTACTTCGTTTCACCTTCTCACCGTGTGTTATCGCGGCGTAAAGATATCAATCACCTTAGTTAAAGCCTATTAATCATTAAGTCTATCTAGCATCTATGATTCACAGTCAAGACATTTTTATAGATAAAGTATTGGAATAAAAAAATGCAATGCAATTTGTGAATTAAAAAAATAAAGGACGGAGCAATTTTTTATTAAAAAAAGGTTGATAAAAGGAAGGAAGAAAAAAAGAAGGGGGAGGGGAAAAAAAAAAAAAAAAAAAAAAAAAATAAAAAAAAAAAGAAAAAAAAAAAAAAAAAAGGAAAAAAAAAGGGAAAAAAAAAAATTTTAATAGATCTTAAAGATTTTAACGTTATGGAGATTTAAAATATACGTGTTAAAACGCCTTAAAACCTAGCCTAGATTTGAATAAGTTTTAATCGCGTAAATAAAATATTTTGATTGCATTTCTGAAGAGCAAGGTAGCGTAAGGCTGGTATTGTGGATGCTTGAACATGGATGAAGGGAGAGAGGTATGTCAGGATCGTAGCAAGTGGAGATTGTGGTACAAGGTGGTTGTGTACCTACCCCTTCGGGCAACAGGCGTTAGTGTGTAAATAAATAATTATTGTCAATGCTCCAGACACTTCTCGCGCCCCGACTTCTTTCATAATAGAAAATTTTTGTTTGGTAAAATTAAACTGACAAATATTTCCTAAGTAAAGTTACATTATGCAAAACTATACGTAATGGGAAAATACAAAAAAGGTTCTATGTCACTCAGGGTATAAAACTAAAAGGAATTTAATTTTTATAAAACATACACAGTGTGGTTTTCACCCTGATTACCATAAACTCATTAACTTCAACGCGTCATATAAATTACTTTAATATTATCGTAATAAAATATTATCTGTGACACCCCTATTTTGTAACGAGGTCAGGTTTTTGAATGTGCGTAAAAATATTTCGTCTTTGTAGAATGATAACGGCGTATGTCCAGAGAAACATTACAGGAAACGAAAAAATTTTTTCATTTCGTCAATGTTCGTTAAAATATTATTATTATGTGTTTTTGTCCATAGATGTTAAAAAGGACTTATTTATTAATAACATAAATAAGTCCTTACTTCATGATTATACCAGTTAAATGTCATAAGAGTCTAAGAATAAAAAATAAATGTTTTTTAGATTTACAAGGTTATCATTCTACAGTGACGATTTAATTTTTCATTTTGTTAAGAATTTTATTATGTTTTTTCATACAAATAGGATCAATGAAAACTTACTGTTGTAAATTTAATATTATAAGTAATAATTTAATAATTTTTACGTTATCTCTCAATAATATCAAAATCTTTTGTAAACGTTGACGGTTCGTATGACCATTTGATTTCGTAGTATTTTGTTCATTAAAACTAAAATGCTTCTGTAGTTGTTATTCAGTCAGTTTATTTTGTTAATTCTTTGTCTGTCAGCGAAACAAAACACAAACAAGTTCTACCAAAATATTTACGAAAATATTGCTCACAATTTGGTTATAATAAAATTTTCCAAGTAAACTTGAGCAACGACTATCTATACAGAGCTGCTGCTTGAAATTGTAATAAAACATTGCAAATCATTATAATAAGTAAGTACCATAGTGCTATCTTATTAAGTTACTTTTGAATCAATTACAAATCAAAATATGTAAAATTAACGCATATTGTAAATTAATCTGACATATTATACAACTCATTACATTGCATTTTGCTATGATCGACACTCTTTATTTGCACGAATTCAGATTGTTTAAAATGCCTCTGAAACTGAGGAACCTCTTGAGACATTTGATTTTATTGTTAATAATAAATTAATTTTATGTATTTACAATTTTTTTACCTACATTGTAGTAATAATAACAAGTAAACATTAATAAATAGCAAAATAATAAAATTTTAAAATATTTGGTCCCCGTGGCAGTGTACCTTTAACGTTGGCTATTTTTTCGCTGGATTAGTATTATTCTTGAGCGAGGACAGTCTGGGGTCACCAGTACCATCTACCATGCCCCAACTTAATTTTTTAATTAGTGAATGTGCACTTGAACCCCCCGGCCCAAGAGTCTCTACTCTGTGGCCGCCCCAGCCTTTTTGCTTGTCCGAGGAAGGTGAGACGGGACCAACGTGTCCACAAATAGCATCCCATACCAAAGCCCGTCCCTTCAAGGGAACAATTGGAGGATGATAATCATAATTAATTAGTTATACAATTGCAGAAAAAACGGTGCCAAGTGAAGCCGCGGTCCTTAGTTGTCTCTAATAAGTCACCATTATATACTAAATTTCAATCTAGTATTAGCAATAGATGAATAAAACTTTTGACCACTTGTACTGTATTAATATCAGCTCTATAAAAATATTTTCACTTTCACCGAGCTACTTGGGTCACTGCCGAAATTCTGTCACGCAATTCCGCCATTACGGGTTGTTTCAACCCCCACCCCCAACCCCGCGTTCTCCCGTCAAGGAGTCGGCGAATTTTACAAACCCCTAGTAATTTAGGGGATATATCAGGGGTAGCTTTTTTACGCCATTGGCTGAGTCTTTCAAAGAAATTTACGATATGCAGTTTATTGGGCCCATTTCTCATAATAGACTATGCATAAGTCTCGTATAATCAATCAAGTTTTGATCGTGTTTTCATGTCTTTTTTATAGGTTTATCGTTATATGGTAAATGCCATTAGCTTTAAGGCACTTGTCAACGCACGCACGGCTAACATTGATTTAAGTTCACATAGATAGAGCAAAGGAAACTTTGTCTATTTTAGTGTTATATACGTTTTCTTAACGCAGTTTTATAGCAAGCTTATTGTTTTAAATTACTAAATGTTTTTGAATGAAGACTACAGCTTTTAATATATTGTCTGCTTCAGACAGCTGCAATAGATTTTCTTAGAGTTTTTGATAGTAGCTTTAAATGCATGCTATTATAAATACGTAAAAATATTTAAGGCGTAGGGCAAATATTAAAAACTCTTTCAAAGGCGCATTATTTACTTCAACAAAAGCCGGCTATATTTTATAAGTGCAAAGTTGGGCGGGCGGGCGCCAGCCGCCTTAGTGTTTATATAGAGTGTTTCCAGTCTGTGTTTGTGTAAAAAATATTAATATGAACCTTTTCTGAACCTGTTATCGTGATTTTTTATATCCGAATAAAGTTAGCTCATTAAATTACAAAAAACATTTTTACATTTAAATCTAAACAAAATAATAACTTATGTGGATTTCTAAGTGTTTTACATAACATCTATATGTTAATTATTATTAATTAAAGACCATTGTGGTATATTGCATTAAAAAAATATGTCAACAGATTTCATAAAAGGACGTTCTGGTTTTGTTAATATAAAATATTCTAAATACAGTGTAAACTCTTTCTAACGTCATTCGTGATAACGAAAAACTCTCTCGAAATTTGTTTGTACATACCTTAATTCTCCCTATAACTAAACCTCTCTATAAATTCGTTATAAAGAGTTGACACTGTAATCTCATCACCCTGTAACAAAAGTCAATAGGTACTATACTAGTATGCGGTAAGTTTACGAGCTGTTTTACTCGTTAAGTATTCAAGCTATTAAGCTTTAAGCGATTATAACCTTTAATCACTTAAGCCTTGGTCGCGTTAGTTCTAAGCCGTCTTGAATTATTCTTACCTTACGTCATTGTACTAGAGAATTTTTTAAATACTTGACTGTACTTATTTCTAATTAATTGTTATAACCGAAAAATAAAATAAAGTTTATACATAATTTAATCGTTTTATACACTTATTTGAAATGTATTTTCTTGTCTATGCCTGAAACTTGATAAAAAAAGCTCACTTCGTAATACATATAGCATTGTTTCTCATTTGATTGATTTTTTGCTAGACCACATTTCATTCAATCGTTTGAATTAATCGTTAAATGAAAAACAGTTAAATGTACTATAAATTTAACGAAGCGAAAGTTAAATGCTTATAACTCTTTTTAAGCGATAACTTCTCAAAAAACAATATTTGCTTGTCATTCAGCGCTAAATTAAAGTAATGCCCTCTTTTAATTTAATAAAGGGTGTAACCTTAATTTGATGTCAAGTAAAATTCACCCTAAGGTCAAAAGGAGTTAGGGTTAAATTTGCTTGTCAGCGTCGTGAGTCCAAAGCAAAATTGATCTGATAAGTTAAAACACTTTTATAGCTTATTTTTATATTGTTAATGAATTAAATGTTTATTTTATTATTGGTTTGGTTGTCATGGTAACTAAGGTTATCGAATGTACGAACTTCAATATTCACAACCAACTTTTCTTACTACACATTTTAAAGATTATTAGAGATTATTAGATAAGATTACATTATTGTAAAAAAAAAATTAAACATACTTATTAGCATTGCATAATACTAACTTAATAAAGTTAAATATGGCGGAAGATGGCTTTTTCAAAATTGGAATGCTGAAGGAAGAGGGTAACAAGACGGAGTCAACACTGTCTATGATTACCAGTTCGGAGGTTACGAAAACGGAGGTTAAGATCTCTGTCACCGTCACCTGTCCGCCAAAACGGAGTGGGCCAGGTCGTCCCAGGAAGATCCGTTCTCCGCCATTAGATTCAGACGAAGACCATCCAAGCACAAATCGTTTCCTAAACTGAAAGTGTCCCCCCATTAAGCAACATTGGTAATGTTTCAAGGCCTGCATGACCTCAACAGCTAACTTCTATCCATACAAACTTCATATAGGAGAAGTAAAAAAATAAAAGCAGTGACTTAATATTATAAACCTGCTTATTTGGGTCACCAACCTTATGTTACATCTTTTAAGCAGATGTCCCATAATGGGATGTTGAAGCAGCGCCACCAAATAGTATGAAATATATATTTTGCATAATATTTTTTTATTGAATGTGCAAAGTACAAATTAGCTGTTCAAAATCAATGACGCGATAAAATGTACCAAAAAAATTATTCTATTTCCCTAGCTTTATGGAAAACAATAATCTTAGATAAGCCCGGTAATCCATCATGGCGTTGGCAATTGTTTTTAGTTGAGTGAACTCGATTAAATATTCTGATACGAAAAATATAATAGACGTGCCTCTAATGTGCTTTGGGAAATTGTTTTATGGCTTAGGAAAGTGAGGAGACCATAAGATTAAATTTTCCTTGAAGACTGTCTATATTAGCGTGTTGTAATAATTCATATTGTTACCTTTTTTGAGTTGTGTATATTATTACTTTTTGTAACCGAAAATAACCATTACACATTTAAATACTGTTATAATATTTTTTAGTTATTGTATCAACTAAACATTTCTTGTACTAATTATTCTAAGTAATAACAGCACATTATAATAATCTTGTTTATTTACTATGAATTGTTTTAAATATAGTTAACATATAATGTATAGTTCACAAGGCAGTTCATTTCACTTCATCTTGTTTTTAATTTTTTTTATTCTTCACTCAAAAGAGAAAACCGTAAAAAGGAAAGCTTTTTTTTCCATTGCTTTCTGTCTTCTTATTTTAAAAATAAGCAAAAGAGAAAACCGTAAAAAGAAAAACGATTTTTCCATTGCTTTCTGACATGCTACTAGTTTAGTTTTTATTGATTCCACGGCATTGGCCGTCCGTATGTGAGTGCGTAGGTAAGATAATAATTGCTTCTAGCAACTAAAAAATGATCCCTCTATAAAATGTATGACAGTTACGATCCCTTACAGGATCCATGTTACCTTAGCGATACAACGCGATATTAGTGTGATCCCTTCTGTATTTATAAACATTTTATAAGCTAAATCAGTTTATACATAACATTATACAAAGTATTCAACGGAGCTTTGCCATCAATAAATCGCTGTAAGGCATCGAATTAGCATCAAATCGATAGAGTTCCTTCCGGCCGTGCCTTGTAGAGCCAGGCACTGTTTGATCAAACAAATACACCGATTACGATTTCCATATAAGAAATAATTCTTAAGGGTTGCGGAAGTAAATATATGACTATTTTTTAATAAACCAACATAGATGGCGATGTTCTATTGAGTCTCTCTCAAATAAGATTTTGTACTGTAAAAATCAAGTAGTTTTTGTAATTATTAAAACTTATTTTTGATTTAACGGATTTTGATTCTATTGTTTACTTGTTAAGGAGTTATGTAAATTAAATTGCTATACGGCAAGTATGTACGACCCACGCTGTCTAATATTAGATATGATAGTATAGATGTGTGGTGACGATGGGTGACCCATGAAAACAAAATATTTCTATTTTTGAATATAAAGTAGCTTAATTGAATGTGCTATGATAGGTTTGAAGCTAATTCTAAAGTCAATTTGATAAATATATGTAATTATGTTAAAGCTAAAAACAAATGCAATCTGTAAATAAAGTTAAAATTATATTTCTGACTAGTTAGAGATATCGATTACATGTTTTTCAAATTATACGAGTACCTTTGAAATATTTATTCTTTTGATTGATTTGTTACAAATCCTGCTACATTTGAACAGTCTCACTCATTCTCCCTTTTAACTATCTTTAGATTTTCTTTTTACACAAAATCTGACTTAATAGACCACTATATCACCAAACGTTTATAACGATCGTTATCCTATCAATAACTTATCATTGATTAGACATTTAATTTTAAGAACAAGCGATTCATTCGATTTGTAATTGGTCGCGTAAATCTTCCCTACTTTGCATACGTCCGCTACCACAGCGTATATCACAATGTGAGTTATGAACAGTCTTTATAATTTTATATCGAACGAAATTCGAATATAAAAAGCAGTAGGGGGCGATTGGTTAACGAAAAGCAGTGTTACTTAATGTACAGATGAGCACAAAAGTAAAACTTTTGTATTATGCTTTTGATAGTAGTTAGGTGAATCTAAAAAAATCTAAATAAAATTCTACGCTTTAGTTATTCACATACACCTTCATTAGACTTTATGATAAAACGGATAACTTTAAAATACTAAAATTAATATATTATTTGAAAGGTTGATTAAAACCTGCACAATGTGCCGGTGTATCGTCAGCTGTAACTAAAGATATATTAATCTTAGTATTTACATTGTTTTTTAAATTGAATTAATAAAAAACCAATCCTTACTTCTCACAAATCCATAACTGTCTGATTTTTTAAGTATATTTCTGTAATTGGCTCAGAATGTATGTATAGTGTACACAGACAATGTCATAAGGTTAATCACACCGCAACCTTATGCACGATTTTGTACACGACTGTACTATAAAAATATCGATAATTCTAATTAAACCGATTGTTGAAGCATCGATTACACGTTCGACTTGTGCCGTAAAGATTTCGCCGCGACGCCACAGGACTCTGATAGTTGAGATTTTAAAATATTTAAATTCGATACCCGAGCGGTAGCACCGTAAATAACTTGATTCTGAGAAGGTACAGTTTGTTCCAATAATCAATGTTTACGATTCTGTAAGTGCACGGTAATTAGGTTATGAAATTTGTATTAAATGATACCTCCTAAGTATACTGAGTCATCTAACAAATTTAGGTATTTTGTTTTTTTTATACAAAAGTACATAATAAACCATGATCTTAATGTTAGTGTTATTTTTTTTTAAAAAGACCTATAATTACCGAGATAATTTCACGTATACTAAATCAATTTCAACATCAGTTAAAATCGTACATTGTATACTGATCCAAATAACATTGTATCAGTGTTCGCGGGGCGTAAGGAGGGACGCATTGATACAAGTTTATTATGGCTCAGTATACGACAAATGACGGCGAGGGCGCGAAATTTTTTTAATTTTCTCAATAATAAGGTGAATAATACTAATGATACAATTAGCAATATCTCAGGAATCGGTGATATAATGCAAAACAGGGCTGAATATGGTAAGTTACATTGATATACTTTATTTATGTTACATATAGTGTGATTTTGCCATTTTTGTTTGATAATTGTTACACGTCGCTTAGTACGCCGTATACTGATACAACTATATTTACACCTGTTTACAACGAACAAACTTTATAAAGAAGACACTTGACTTATCTGGCTATAATAATGTACTAATTAAATTTTTGATATATTTGTTTTAATTGTGGTATAATATATTTTTTTATGTGTTATAAATTTTATATCTTGATATTGGCACGTTAAATATAAAAATATGAATTCTTGTGTTTTTAATTGTTGTTTGTTTTAGAGTCTCCATTGCCACCGGATGCAAATTGCTAATTTATGGAAGATTTATGGAAGATGCAAATTGCAAAAAAAAATTGCAAATTTATGGAAGAGGAGCTATCAATACTTGATGATATTGATTAGAATGATAGCAAGGAAGTATCGCAGAATATCCCTTCTAATGCTTACATATTATTCCTAGATTATATTATTCTTTTCTCTTCGCCTTGGGTATCGATTGTTGATAACTGAACTCAAAAAGGAGATCGATCGCCATCAGTCATAGAGAACACTCCAGGTAATTCGCCCATCCAGAATAGCATTATAGAAAATTAGTGTGATATTACTCCAGTACCATCGCCGTATAATTCTTTTGACTCATCTCCTGTTAATTTCTGACATTAATGATATCACATACTCATCGTCCAATAACGCCAAAAGCGCATTTCCATTGCGAAAAAAGATAAAGAAAGGCTAAGAGTTTTCATAAAAAATGTATGGATAAGGAGAGGAAATATAAGCTTAATAGAGGATTGGAATATGTCAGTAGAAACGGAAGAGTTCATGCTACGAGAATTATGAAAACTTCTTGCCCCTCAACTTATGGAAAAAATGCAGTGAGAAATTAACAGAATGTTTTGGATTATTGGACCACTCAAGACAATGGGTTTTTTGGCAAGATATGCTGTAAAAGCTGGAAAAAAAGAGAAAAAATATTGTCGATAAAAAGGAGTGAAGGAGATAATATTGAGACCACAAAAATATCGGTTTGCAAAACTATGTTCTTGAGAACTCTTTCTATTAGTTTTGATTTTGCTTATACAGCTTTAGAAAAGTCCGATAAAGGTAATGGATTTATTAAATCAGATCAGCGTGGTCTTTGGATGAATATATAATCCATCCGATGACGTTCACAGTGTTATAGATCACGTTGAAGCATTTTCTCCTGTAGAGTCATATTACACTCGCCAAAAATCAAGTAAAAATTATCTAGAAGGCTTTTTATCCTTCCCAAAACTGTTCATGAATCGAATGGTTTATGGACTACCGTGAGACAATATCGAGATATCTATATATAGTTTTTATAAACCCAAAAAAGATTTTTGTGAACAATGTCACATTTATGAAAATAACAAGCAAGTTCTACAGACAGATAAAGAAAAGCATGAAGAGCATTTTTAAAAAAAGAGAAAGCTAGAAAAATTAAAACAAAAGATAAAAAATCAGCGTTACAAAATAATGAAATCCTTACATCAGCATCTGATCTTCAAAAGTGTCTTAATGTATGTACCTCACGAGAGCGTGAGTACTTTTTATTATAAACGGAAACATTATTTGTATAATTTCACGATATTCATTCTGGGATCTCGCCAAGGTGATTGCTTTTGATGGTATCAACAGACAGCAAAGAGAGGTGCAATTGAAATTTCCAACTATCATTTTAAGTTTATAGAAGATACGGGTGGTGAAGGTGTCAATGATTACCGGTTTTAGTCAGACAACTGTGGAGGCCAACATAGAAATAGGATTTATTTCTTAATGTATATGTTAGGTAGTTTAAAGTGTAGTATAGCTATTAGCCATCGCTTTCTAATAGTGGGTCATTCACAAAGTGAAGGCGACAGTATGCACGCTTTAATTGAAAGACGGACAAAGATAAAAAGCTTTATATGCCTGATCAATGATATACAGCTTTTAGATACATACACAGTTATTGAAGTGTCTCAGGATTTAATAAAGGACTTCAAATCAAAGTCAAAACTTATAAACAACTGGACAACTACTAATGATGGATCTATCTATCTATCTAAATAACTCTAATGGAGCAGAAGATAGTGATTCAGACTGATTTTTGATTCGTTCAACCTTTAATATTTTTATTTATTTTGTTTAACCTTATAGAAATTTTTTTGAGCGTTAGAATTTCCTAGATTTTTAGATATTTATATTATTCATATCTATTATTTTTATTAATATTGTTTAACGTAAGTTACCATTTTTAGTTTCTATTATTTTTATTGATGGTTGTTACTTTTCAAGAAACTTTCATGATACAAAAACGGGTCGGATACAAAAACTACAAAAACGGGTCCTACTTAGTATAAACGAAAAATACATTGTGATTCTTTAAATGTGTTGTTTTGTTAAATGAGACTACTTCTTCCTAACCTTTATTAATTTCGTGAGGTATTCGAAATACCTAAAATGAGTAATTAAAAAGCCTCGATTAATTATATTAGTCCAGTATACGTTGAGGTTTTAACTACTAACATAGGGAAGTACTTTCCTAGTATAATGAGTCAAGTGATGTAATTTCAACATTTTATTATTAAGTGGGACAAAAAAAATCGAAAATAACCAAAAGTAGTATGATATTAATAAAATGATTATCATATTTAGTAATATTTTCGAGTAAGTCATGGATTTTCATGTACAACGTACATGAATATAACTGGTAGTTAAACCATTTTACTATTCAGGCCCGCCCGTGTATAATGAGTCATGTACATAAAATATCATTTAAAAACAAAATTCAGCAAAATCATGTTATACCAAAGGAAGAGCTTTCAATCTTTATTAAAAAAACATTTAATTTATTCCGAATTAGTTTGATTTCATTAAAATATAAACAATTTGCCTTAAAATGGCTCTCCTATAAAATTACTAAAATGTCAGTTGACTCAGTATACTTAGGAGGTATTAAATGATCGATGTATTCATACTATTGGTTCATGTTATTTGTTGATTTTTCTTTAGTCTTTTTAATTAATTTAGCATTTACGATACCTAGAACAGTAGCATATTTTTTACTCACCTGATGTTACGTGATACCATGGAAACTCTCAATGCCAGAGGGCTCGCGAGTGCGTTGCCGGCCTTTTAAGAATTGACACGCTCTTTACTTGAAAAAACCCTAAGTCGAATTAGCTCGGAAATACTTCAGTGGTTCCATATAGTGATGGTGAAAAACTGCCTTAAAAACGCTCACGTTATGGAAAAAGATGATGAGTTTTAAAAAGATTAAACTTCATAGTTTCTTTAGTAGAAGCCCATTGACATACAAAAAACCCAAAAAAAAAAGGTTTTTTGTATATCAATGTAGAAGCCTTTCCATTATGTATGTAACTACTTGAACTGTAAGATTTTTTACGTAAACATTTTCTCAAGACAATATTATCTCAAGTACTGCCAAATGCGGAGTTAACCCATCGTGAATCGTAAGATTTACAGCCGATTAGCGTTCTAACGCAGACCAAAGTTGTCTAAAAAACCGTGTGGAGCGCTTCCGACCTAAAGGTACTCACGCAGTCTAACAACTGATACCATAGTGGAGATGTCGTACCTACATATCTTTACGAGTTGCATTAATCGTGTCATCAATAGAAGTGTAGCCGAAGTTTACAACTGCCGCTACAATTAATTAAAACGTAACTGAAACGAGTGAGAGTAAGATTTTTAAGTGACACGATTGTTAAGGCCTGTATTCACTTTGATTAGTGCGAGTACTAGTGATTAGTACTTGAGGATGATTAGTACAGGTGTGTAGTGCAAGTAGTGTCCAATTCTTGTTTAGTTAAGTAAATTCATTTGTCGTTAGCTGGCGATCAGCAAGTTTGGACGAACATCGAGAAGCACGCTTGCAATTGGAAGAAGTACTGAAAGAAGTATTAAGCACGGTGCTATCTGATACCGAAGAAGTTTTGGAAGCTGAACTTGCAAGACCAAGAAAAGTATGTATTCGAAAATGGATTAATATATATAATAAAATACTTATTAAATCTTTATTCATAAAGCTTTAATACCCTTGTGACTTGCAATCTCTGTATCTAAGCGAAACTAGCAACATTATCTAATACAACTAAGCTATAGGCTTCGAACTTAAGCCACCATTAAGTATTTAATTGGATAAATTAGAGTCGTGACTCGTGTTTAAAACACGCAGATGGAATGATAAGAAATCTAATCATTCGCTAACTCCCGTATCGATTTCGTTACGAGAATCAGGATCGAAATATTATTAATACATACAGCCTATAATAAAATTGCCTGACGGGTTTACGTGCTGTGGCTCACATTTATAAGTAATCGAATACATTGGTATGCGATCGGTTTTACAATCGAATATTATGCTTAGAGCAAATGAGAGAGGGCTTATTAGGGATTATGTAGTTTCCTTTTTATTGGTTTTTATTTATTTAAACTTGTTACATTGAAAGAAAAACAAATTAGATGAATTATTAGGGATGCAACGGGAAGCCTTATCGCTAACAAACTCTTCCAAGCAACCCTAGTAAGGAAAATCATTTTTTATTATTAAGGTTTAATTGGCTTTTGAAAGTCTTAATACCACGTGACGCAGAGTGAATAATGGTTATGGTAAATAAATAAGATCTTTTTAGCAATATAACGACTCTAAAATTTAAATTTGTATTAATTGTCCTCGTTTTATATAATTAAATATATAAAGTGTTTATTAGTTTATTCATATAACAAGGAGAGGGGTAAAAAGATCCTATTAGGCTATTCTTTGGAAGTCTGAGAATAATTCGTAAGTTTTATTATGTTAAGAGGTTGATTTTTGTAATCGTTGTACAAATTGATTGGTATCAACATTCATGATCGAAATGATTACAAATGCAATAGGTTTATTGCTAACAACTAAGATCTCATGTGGAACATGGTGTACTGGTTGCAGCTCCTTACAAACGTTGTGTAAAACAAAAAACTTGTGGTCTAAGATCCCGCTATACAACGACCTTCACCGAGATGCTTATTTAATGAAACTTATTTTATATATAATTTAATATGTCAATAAATATAATCCATATGGGTTGCCTAGCAAATTTCAGTCCAGAGTATGTTTAATTAATTTTAAAAAAAATATTTTTTTAAACATTTCACCGGTATGATTATTAGATAAATTCTATACCAATCGAACGTATGAAGCCCATAGAATATGCAAACGTTAGGTTGTTTTTAATCAATTAATTATTTATGTGTATATTTTTTATGTGACACTAAAGTATATATACATCTTAAGTATAAAATAAGGTTATAGTGATACATATATAATACTACCCTGATTAAAAATATTGATTGAAAAAAGTTCAAAAAATTTACTACATGCAAATTATAAAATTTTTTTTTTTTTTTAATATTAATTAAACATACTCTGGACTGAAATTTGCTAGGCAACCCATATGGATTATATTTATTGACATATTAAATTATATATAAAATAAGTTTCATTAAATAAGCATCTCGGTGAAGGTCGTTGTATAGCGGGATCTTATACTATTGGCGATTAAAAAGAGTGGCGGAGAGTTTATTGCCAGTTCTTCTCTTCCGTTCTACGCCCTTGATTTGAGAATTGGCAGTAAATGTAAAATTAGAAGCATTTCATATATATTCTTTTTTGGCGTTCATTAGTGTACATTGTGTTACCTATATTATGAATAAATTATTTTTACTTCTGACTTTGACATTTGACAAGCGACGTCTTCCAGGCAACCCTCGTACAATAAAAAAAAAGAAATAGTAAAAGCACAGCGCGTAACTAACCACAAATAAAATGATAAATAACAACGCAGAATTATACGACTACTAAACGAAAATCCAAACCTTTATCTTATAAATCACATTAAATTCTATGTTTCTTAAGGCACTGTTTAAAAACTGTATCTTAGTTTATCAATTTGGGCAAAGCTTTTCAGAAAGTCTAACTGACCTTGGAAGTAACTTTTGGTGCGCAAATAGCTGACAGACAGTCGCAGGATGGAGAGGCGGTCCAGCTTGCTGAGTATGTTCTGTTCGAAGGGCAAGAGGGAGGCCAGGGTGTCCAGCTCTGCGTTGAGACGCTCACGGTGTCGTTTACTGGGGTTACTCTTTGTGACGCCGTCTTTTGATGGAGGTTTGATACTGAAACAAGAAGGTTTATAGATTATTATTATGTTTTTATTGTTTTTATTTATATTAAATATTATACGGGACGGCACGGCACTACTTTAATATTATTAAATGTACGTCTACTGGTCATTAAAACGTGTTGTCCTAAATGTGTAGTTCGCAACGCAATAACACTTTCTTTACTACAGAAAAAATATCCAGCTTATAAAAGTTAGTTGGTTGCATTTATAAATAAAGAACTTTTTCGTCACTTTCTCTAAAATTGTGTTTGCGCTATAATGAGAATGGACAATAATAAGTTACAAATGTGCGTTTAGATTTTAATTAGTATGATGATCTGATACATGAAAATATCAAGGTTATATCTTGATTATTGTCAGAAAAATGACGGTTTTCATAAGTATAAATGTCGAATATCTATAATATGAAAATAAATCATACAAATAATTAAATTTATTGTTTCGCATTAAAGGTTAAAAAATATTAATTAAACAGCTTCGGAACTTTTTAGTAATTGTGGAATATATGCTTATGAAATAAAATATTGTCATATATTTTTTATAATAACATTAATAAAATTGTATCTACCATTAGGGGATGAAATGTTTGATCACTTTGTCTTCGATCCAGTAGCTAACAAGGATCAAGTCACGCGAGTCTCGCAATAACTTATGCAAGATTATTGCGCCTTCGCCATGTAATTGTTACGGGGAGGGGTACCTTTATTATTTTATCAATTTTATTTCTACGAAAAAAACACTCGCTCGTACGTTGAAGAAAATCATCGTGATGTCAAACATAGACTTCTGACTACTTGCCTATTAAGAAAATTAAATCACGAAATAGATCAGAGACCCAGAGGTTGTAATGCCTGTATTTGTCCTAATAATGTTTTTATTAGAAATTATAAAAATAAAATATTCTGTATTCACAATTTTCTTAACCTACATAGAAATAATTAAAATAATTAAAATGAATAAGAAGAAAATTAAAACAAGTTTAAAAAGTTTGGTCGCTGTGGCCCCTTTAACGCTGGCAGCATTCCCTCGCTGTATTGGGATTATTATATGTTGAAAGCAAAGCTCCAGGGTCTTCGGGTCACCGGTACTATCTACCAGGCGCCAACTTAAATCTTTAATTAGCGAGTGCACTTATAATATTGACATACAGAGAGGACAAAAATGTTTTTATAATCTGGAAAACTATGTAAAAGAAAATGCTAGTTTCTCTTCAAACAAACATTTAAATAACATCTATATTACGACACGGCGGTGATCTATTAATTAACATTCGTTAGCGTTAAATTACAGTTTAAATATACAAAAGGTATTTGTTTTTGTTAATTTGTGTTCACATCTCGGTCGGATAGGAGAGCGTTAGCTATAGACATGAATAGAGTCGCCATTCCTTCTTATTAGATAAATTTAATTCAATATCTCCTTTCTTTTTTCCTGTCTTATGTTAATAAACTGTTTTAGTCTTAAACAGTATTCTTCTCCCAATTAAATTGTATTTTTGTTTGTTCACTAGAGTTTAAGTTTTATGATAATTTTATATTTCGTATCTTTAGTTATATAGTCCCGTCTTGAGCGCTGTCAAATATTTGACATATTTTTACATTTGACATATTTATTTTATCTTCATACAAAAAAAATGCTTAAACGGTTATTTAAAGTAGATTTCAGTTTAATTGACATTCAAGAGTTATTTGCATTTGTAGGTACTACACTATTTTGTGTACCTTTCACACATCATAATCGGCTTAATTCTCTTGTGTTTCGGAGTTTCCTGGAGGAACTTAATACTCTCTCCTCAATCACAATATGGGTTAAAAAGAAATGGTATTTACTAAAATATAAGTTTTATTTTTATAACTGTATATTTATATATTGTTGCAATTATTGGTCATCAAACTATAAACTTAAAATATAAAAACATCATAATGGTATATGGATATGTTAAAGTGTTGATCATGTCACATTTTATATTGACATAAGTCACTCATAAATGATTTGTAAGTTTGACTTAACTTTTCTAATTATTTTGTAACGGCTCCATATCTTTCCCTATTCGAAATTACTGCATACATTTGGACATTACTCATTGCCGCCCGTCGTTTTTGTTGATTTATTCAAAGTATCAACGCGCTTCGGCTCTTTGATACTTTTCCGATACAAATTACGTACGTACTTAATAATTTCCTTCCAAAAATACCTCATATTTTGTTGACATAAGGTTTGAAATAGCTTGCTCGTACCTTGGGTTGTAATCAATAAATCAACACCGATTATTTCTATAAATTGTAACTCGATTAAGTTATAATCGATGTGCTGTGTAATGTATATTATACGTAATCTGTCAACGGCGAAGTAATATTTCACTTCTGGATATTTCTAGTCACGTGAACCTATCTCCAAGAACATGCACTGAAATTTCCGACACATCTTTTATGTATAGAAATACATTATCAATATTATAATCAATAGGAATTCTAAAATAACCAAATGTATGCAAACTCAAACTCAAAATATCTTTATTCATGTAGGTAAACAAGTACACTTATGAATTGTCAGAAAGAAGTTAAATTAATTGTAAATTTACATTTACTACCAGTTCGCAAGTCAAGGGCGTAGAGCGGGTAAGAAGAACTGGCAAGAAACTTTCCGCCACTCTTTTTAATCGCCAATTGTCATACAAATTGTTTGAACTGGAGAAATGGTTAGAGCAGTGTTGGTCTCGTGGCTAAAGCGTGCGACACTCATGAAGCCGTGCTTTCGATCACGGCTCTGAACCAATAGAATCGGCATGCCTCTTCCAAAAATCGGTTGTATGTGTCGGACAATTCAAAATTTCATCAACATCACCTTGATGGCTGGAAGTCTTCCACAGTCCGTTTCACAAGGCACTCTTTTTCGAACTAGCGAACTGTGGAATCGACTCCCGGTGGGGTCTTTCCTGAGAAATACGACCTCAAACTATTCAAAGTAAGAGTGTACTCCTCTCTCAAAGGCCGATAACGCACCCACTAAAAATGGGTGTCCATGCGATGACTGCTCTTTTTGGGCGTCACGTAGGCTCGTCTGCCCCCCTATTAAATAAAAAAAAGACACAAGAGACTGATCCCCTTGTCTATAAAATAAATGATCGAAGAAATGGACACAATCCAAGACCCATATAGTATTTTATTATAATTCAAATGTAACATTTTACATTAAAAAAGTTGCTAAAAAATAGGTATTTCATTTGTACTTTGTTAGACAAATTATGCGAACAAATTACGTAGACTATAAGTCACTCCTACGATTGATCTTTGGAAAATAGAAATGAACTACATTCAACTCAAAATATTACACTTGAATACTTTTAAAAGAAATTCCTTTAAACGCCAAACAAATTTAAACGCTTAAGGTACCGTTAAGACGACGATAAGACTAGGGCTATTAAATGTTCATCAGACGTAAAAATTACACTAAATTAGGTTTAAACATGAGAAATCGGTTTTGTTTAAACTTCTTGTGGGGTGCTGTCTGACTTTGATTTTAATAGATTGTAGATAACTGTTGCTAGTAAGTACTATCTTAATATATATAAATTACGCGTCACGTTGTTTGTCCGATATGGACTCGTAAACTACTGAACCAATGTTAATCAAATAAGCACACCGTATGCAGTTTGATCTAACTTAAAAGATCATCTAATATCTCAATTTATACCTGCAATATATTTTATTTCAAAATCTTTATTATTTGACAGTCACAATTCTAGCCGATGGCGCTGTGTTAAATGTTACCAACATTTCACATAAGCTACAATTTAATAGCATAACCACTAAAAAAGTATGGTGGTCTCCTTGACTGGTATTCTCCTACCGTTTCCGTTGAATAATTTACTACTATGTAATATAACAAAAACCTTAGCCACAGCATCGCTTGGCCGGTCTGCTAGTGTATATATATAATAGCTTTTAATTACGGCTAAATAAGTGGTTATTAAATTAAAAAAAACAGTTTAGCTTCAAGCCAAGACAAATCCCCCGATTTTTGTATGTGATTCGTGACCTTCTTTTAATAGATATGGCCTTCTGTATCTGATACACACACATACACTTTTTAGGCCTAAAACATGCTGGTTTTCTCACGATGTTTTTCTTCGAGTGTTAAATGCACATATAAAGAAAAGTGTCCATAGGTGAGCAACCGGCGTTCGAACCTACGATCTCTGTCATGGTAGTCGCAAGCTTAAGCCACCAGGCCCTCTGCTTTATATGCTATCTCTATCATACTCTCTCTCTGCTATCATACCTAATGCTTTGTACCAACTTCAAAAGCCCTTATAGTAAAATGTAGATCAACTTCTACCTCTCTACGAGTTCATACTCTTAGTACCTCTCTTGGTTATCAGAAATGACATACAGGCCGATTCCAGATTTAATTCTTGGTGGAACAATATCTACAGGTAGGCTAAGCTGGTAGAATCTGAATACCTATTTGCCTTAAAAGTATCACATGATCAAAAGTGACATACGTAAGGTTACTTTGTGATTTTAGAACGCAAAGAATACCTAGCATTGAGTGTTTTAATCCATCTCCAAATTCCTAAAACACGGAGCTCTTATTAAATAAAAAAAGTGTGCGTGTGTACAAAGTACACGTGTCAGCAGTGAAACCTCTTTGGCAAACTAATTTTTAACTCTTGTTCATATTTATACAAATCTTAAACTTTAGATTTCCGAGACTTAGAGGGAGGGGAAACGGAAGATATGTTAGTAATTTAATTAATTTAACTGTCATTAAAACATTAAAAGTGTCAAAAATTTATACAAATTAGAAACATAATTTTTAAATTAATTTCTTCGATACTAAAAACACGTGGCATTTAATTTTAAAAATAGAATTTCTTGAAGGTAATTCGCCCTTCTCACTCTTACTCAATCGGTCTCAATCACTCTCTCCCTTTTTTTCGATAAAAACGCTGCACATCTTCCTGACGCTAATATTATTATTATTGCGTTGCATCCGTAAAAACGTTACCCTTATGCGCCTAAAGAAGTTTCACTTCAAAAATTAATTGTATTACAGCTATTTAAATTCCGTCATCAGGCATCCGTCATGTGCTTTATAATAACAGCATTTGTTAGGTTATCATGACACTGGTATGAACTACTTAAAACCTACGTGACGTATCAGCTAGACAATGTATCGTGTAAGATAAAGGTACTCATGACGTGACTGGCAAGATTCGTTTTCGTCGGGTCGCATGTCGACACGACACCCATTGAATGTCTCTGCCCTTGGTCAATGACTTGTTTGCAACTGTAATTATTATGACGGCTCTGACTGCAAGAAACAATTTCATGAGGATAAGTCATGCATTCGACTTAACTGTATGTGTCTCGACCGTGGTCTTGGCATAGGAAACTGGCCACAGATTTAGTTCAAACCTGTGGCGCTACAATCTTTTTTAGATGTGGGCCTTGAGATCGTTTGAGCCTGACAAGTGTCGTTGAGTTTTTGTGTCTAAGGCATGGCGATTTCCATACAATGTTTTCCTTCACCTTATGAGGGAGTGTTTAATCATCATCATCATCACCATGAAGCCGCTAGACCAACAAGGCTCTAAGGCAGAGTAAGTATTATATACATTTATACTGTAGAACTTTAAATACAAGTAGGAAATTGTCAGCGGAATGTAGTAGTTTTCCTCTAACATGCTTTAAAGATTATAAAGTGTTTCAAAGTGACACTGGTTTTTAAATGCGTAGACAATTAAGACTATAGACTAATTACGCCTCTAATGATGGTAATCACACATCTTTGGTTTGATTCTTGGCGAGCCAGTCAGGCTAGCAGCCTAAGTAGAATCTGATTACCTGCTTGCCTTAACAATTATTCCGTGATTAGATGTTTATACACCTACAAAAACGCAGCTAATAATATCTACAACGAAGTCTAGACAGCTCTTATTTAAAATACTGTCTCGTCGATACAGAAAAAGACAACGTTTCCATGGAAAACTTTAATATTTTGAAAATAGAACTCAAGTGTAAATGAACCATATCACGCACACACACAGCCAGTCGACAATGCATTACTTAAGGTACATAGCGTATAAAATTGTTACGATTTCTCTCTTTACATCGTAATTTGACCACCCATAATTCAGATGCTGTTATAAGAAAAAATTAACAAGTTACGACATAGAGCCTGTGTTTACAAATGCGTCCGTCCTCAAAGCTATAATTATAAATATATTAGTGGGTTCAACGAACGGAAGGGTGAAGGCCAATTTAGCCTTTGTTTAAGGCCATATATTTTGGCTGTTAGTCGCTATACTATAACCACCTATAAGAATTAAATAGTTGACGGACAGAACTTAGGTTCTTAACATACACTTTTAACTTTACATAATTGTGTTTCTACTTCAAATAAACTCTGAAATCATGCGTTCTAAGAATTTTATGAATTTTGTTTAGTTTTTTGTAATTGTTTTTTTTTGTAATGTTTGTTTTGTTTAATAATTGGTTTGATATTTGTATGATCTCTACATGTATGCCATGTTTGCCTTTAAGTGCTTGTTACATTAAAAAATGTATTTTGTGTTTATTTTTACCAATGTGTGAGTGTGCCGAGCGTTGGCAAGCTTTTTATCAATAATAAAAAAAAATGCGGTATTTAACCATTTCCCTTAATAACATTAACTTTAATTCGCTAAAATCGGATCCTTGTATACCGACAGGCTGCCGACTCGTCGCCAGA